AAAACGCAACATTCTGGTTCATATACCACTGAAGATGTCAACACAGTTTCGCTGACACTATTATAAATCTCCTTTCAAGACTGTGAAGAGTTGGACAGACGAGTTCAGCGTCACAAAGAACTCTCAGAAATGGCGCCTGCCTCAAACAAAACAGTAAAATAGGAATGGTATGAAGCACTATGCCGCTCCAACACCTAACACAAATGCTTTTTCTTCTTATCATCGGGAAGATTTGGTGCATTTCTGGAAGTGCCCAGAAAGGCTTAGAGTTTGACAAAACCTTTCTTGCATAGGATTTCACATGCTTGCGCACAATCCAAATTGTGAAAGAAGTTAAGCTTCGAGAAGATCTCGTTTACTAAAATAAGTTAAGCAATGGACAGAGTACGGACTTGGGGGATTGGCTAATTCACTCTCGTGGAATAACATGCTACTTTTGTAAGAAGTGGAAAACTTACATTGATTCTTTCCAGGTTGTTGTCGCAGGCGTGACAAAAACGCCAAAAAATGTTGGGTTTACAGCCTTCTGAACTCAAATATAATAACCATTCATCTAGCAAGTCTTGTCACATTATGATAGTCTGAGTGGTCCTATATTTGTTCAAATATATCAAAAATAAGAGATCTTTGAGATTTGAGCTTTCATTGCAGCGAGATGATTTGAAAAGAAATTTAAGTGCTATATTAGTCACTTAAAAAAATCGAGACATTAGTTTTATAAAAATGTCTAATTTAAGCTTTGAGAAGAAGATTGAATGGAATCATTGAGATGGATGGGCCGATAAATACATAAAACAAAGATGAAGTACGCACAGGAATGCAGGAAGGAAAAGCAAGGGCGCAAGAAGCAATTTTTTAGAAAGTTTTCACTTGTTTCCGTTAGCGTCGTAAATACATTTTGCTAATTGCCTTTCGAAGGCCAATATGTCTAGCTACATCATGACATTTGTAAATATGAGGCTGACATTTACAATATCATAGTTCACAGGGTACTATGCACGCCTAAGGGGCTAGGGAAAA